CATCCATCCATCCATCCATCCATCCATCCATCCATCCATCTTCTTCCGCTTATCCGAGGTTGGGTCGCAGGGGTAGCAGCTTCAGTAGGGAGGCCCAGACGCCCCTCTCCCCAGCCACTTGGGCCAGCTCCTCCAGTGGAATCCCAAGGCGCTCCCAAGCCAGCAGAGGAACATAGTCCCTCCAGTGTGCCCTGGGCCTTCTCCCGGTGGGACATGCCTGGAACACCTCACCAGGGAGACATCCAGGAGGCATCCTAAGCAGATGCTCGAGCATCTGATATTACACATATTATTTTTATTGTTCTGGTTGGTTTGAATTCTCCGATCAGCATGTTCAGACTGGATTGTCATTAAAATTAACAAATATAAATGCTTCAGACAGTTTTACAATCATCATTCATAAATAAAGTGATGGATAAAAATAGATTAGGATTTTTATCCATTTTCTACTTAATGGGACTTTGATTAACTTCAATGTCTAAAGATGCCTGAAAAACCTGTAGCTGCATGACCAAAGGATGCGTCGGTGCTCATGCGATGCTTCAGGCTCCTTGAATGCTTGTGTTGTTTGGCAACTTTGAAAGCAATATGCTTCTCCAGAAAAACAGGCTTCTAACAACGTCTGCTAACTTAAGCAACAGGAATTTTCCACAGCAAAGAATGATGACCATCAGGAATAAATTGTTTGAAGAATGATAATGTGAAAAATTCTGACCTCTCTGGTCAGGCTAATTATTGTCGACCAGACAGCTGAAGGAGGGAATTTCAGACTCAATGGAATCTCTTGAACAGATGGATCCTAATGCGCATGAAATGGAAAATAACATAGACATTAATTTCTTTAACTGTAACAAAAACTGCTGTCATTAAACTGAGGAAAATGAAAATACAGATAAGGATGGTGAATTTATTCTGAATCATATCACTTCCAAAAAAGTTAAACAACAAACAACTGGACTTTATTTTCCAAGTTCTAAGACATTTTCCTTCCCACCTGGGAAGCTTTTTCAATAAAAAATGTCTGAATTAGTGTTAGATTAGAGTTAGAGTCCCACGCTTTATAGAGTAGCCCAGCAAAGCCTTGTTTTGGCTTAGAAAACATTCAAATTGAACAAGAACAGGTCAGCCCCTTAGTAATAGGGAGTCGTTGCGGTTTCTGTTAGCCTGCAATACCCGATACCTGGTAGGGGCATTGTTGGCCTGGCTGATTGTCTTGTTCCCCTGCATGGCAATGAGGATTATGAAAGCAGGAAGGAATCAACTCTATCACTGCGTTGTAGTTTTTTTAAGTGCCGAATCCTGAGTCCACCCCCTCGGTTTAAGTTTGGTTTTTGGATTCCTTCACACCCTTTCAAACCACATGTCTTCTTTTTCTTGGTCCTAAAAACAATGTCCTTTGTCCATAAGGGTTAGGTGTACAGCCGAGTCCTATCCAGAGGAGGTAGCTCTCCTGTGTTGAGCCATGCGTCTATGGAAAGGTTGTTTGGTTTTTCCAATCTGAGCATTCCTCACTACATTGAACTGCAAACACCACTCCGCCCATCTTAGGTCTTAAGGCTGATTTATACTCAGAAACCTGGTCGTCTGAGTGTGTGTCACCGTGAACGCAAATGTGCCCCCGCCCCTTCCACAGGCACTCTGCTGCACCTCTCCAAAATTGTAGGTGACAGCAGATAGTGCCACAGATCTGATCAAATCTACATCATCTCTACGCTATGCATATTTCCTGTTTGGTACCTTACCGGCTTGTTTTGTTTGTATGAACGCCATTGTGGAAAACGACTCGTGAAGATGGACCAGCTATAACAGCTAGGTGCGCGAGAATGCTGGGACTCTTTTTCCACCTGGATCCCTGTTCTTTTTGGCCCTCATGTCCCTCCGTTGTTGCACAAACTCGCCCCCACTTCCTCACCGCCTCTGCCATATCTAGACCCACAGCAAGTTCGTGATTGTACCTCTTACGTTGAAGCGTGGAATAACATAGCGCAGACAATGCCTCAATATTTGGACTCCAGCAACACATGCGATGTTTTTGTGTTTAATATTCTCACCGTTATGTTGTTTTGGATTTCTTTGCTGGTTTGACCAACGCCTGGCTGTGTGCTTTCCGAGCGAGGCTTCCTCTGGAGCTGGATGATAGTCACTTTTTGTATCTCTACTTCTTTCTGTAAGACTGTTTCTGTCTCCTTGAACCACAGACGGCTTTGGCAGATTTGACAAACGCCCAATTTGGTAATCCACAGGTTTGAAGAGCATCTTTGATGTGGCTCTCTTCTTTGTGCTTCCCTTCTGTTTTAGTAGGGACATGCTTGGCCCTGTGCATGTTCTTTCTAAAACAGAAGGGAAACACGAGGTCAAATTAATTAATCAATGGCTTTTATTGTGAAATGCAGAGAACGAGACCTTGACAGGAAATGACATGGGGTTACCAGAGGTAACGAAGGTCCAAAGCAGGGGGACTAGGAGGCTGGTGATTTCCTAAATATAAAAAAAATCTTTCCAGCTCCTCTTACATTTGTTTTAATCTGTATTATTTCCCTTATTTTTTTCTCCATCTCATGTCAGAAATCTGACTTTTTTATGCTCCAAACAGAGAACTTTGTTCTAAATCTGCAGATTTACTAGTGGTTCCTAGAATTTCTAAATGTAGAATGGGAGGCATTTGTTTAGTTATCAGGCTCCTCTCCTGTGGAACCAACTACCAGTTTTAATCCGCAAGCCAGACACCCTGTCTACTTTTAAGGCAAGGCTTAATTCTTTCCTTTTAGATAAAGCTTATAGTTAGAGTGGCTCAAGTTATCCTGAACTATATCTATAGTTTTGCTGTTATAGGCTTAGACTGCTGGAGGACATAGGGACCCCTTTTCATCATTTTATTTTTTATAGTTCCATCCTACTGTAATTGTTTGTTCAACCTCTAACTTTATGCTCTCTCTGCTTTTTCTTATCATAGCTTTCACTGGTCTGTTCCCATTTAGCTGTGACACCATCCTTGAGAGAAATGATCAGTTGTGCTGCTGCCATCAACACCTTTGTTTATAGATGTTGGAGCTTAGCCTGTTTTTCAGTGTGGTCCTGTTTCTGTGACTTTGACTAACTATATGTGCTCTATTTCATCCTCTACCATTGGAGCTGGCACAGAGTACCTCTACCTGGCTGTGTGTTTTCCGAGCGAGGCTTCCTCTGGAGCTGGATGATAGTCACTTTTTGTATCTCTACCTCTTTCTGTAAGACTATTTCTGTCTCCTTGAACCACAGACGGCTTTGGCAGATTGCCACTTATACTGAGCCTGTTAAAAGCTAGTTTTCATCTCCACTGTCGTTACATCTATGCTTGGTGTGCAAGGGTTGCTGCCAAGTTATTGAGTTGATGCAATCAGCTGGCTTTCCTTTTATAAGAAATTTTTATCCAAGCTGACTGTGTGATCTGGTTGAATTGTCTCTGTAAAGTGCCTCGAGATGACATGTGTTGTAAATTACTATGTAAGTAAAATGCAATGAACTGAATTGAAATGCTTCACTCCTACATTTGATGTAGTTTATTTAACAGGTTCTCTGTAAAAAATACTGCTGTTCTCCCTTGGTTCAAAAAAGGGTAACAATTTCAGTGTTTAGTTTTTTAGATCTTATTTGGACACGCACCATTGGCAGCAATCATTCTTGTTATCTAGCCCCTGTAAGACCAATTAAAACCAGCTTGTTGATACGGGTGGCCTGTTTAGTCCCTTGGCTAAGATCATTTGTTTTGTATGAGGAATGTGTGTGCAGGTAACTGTATATGTGTGTGTGGCTTCTGGGTGTCGGCATGGCTCTATGTCTTAGTTTGGGTGTGGTGTGACATCTGCCTTGGCCAAGGTGTGGGTCTCACTGTGGTCAAGTCCTTATCTGGCTATGGAGGGTCCTGGGTTGGGGGCTGCCCCTGCTTGGCGCATTGCTCCTGGTGGAAGGTGGAGAACAGGTGCCTAATGGGGTCAGTAGGGGAGCTGGCTTCCTGGGAGAACCCAATTTCCCAGTTCTGATCCCCATCTCTGATGCTTCCCCTCAGCTGCTGTATTACACTACCACACACTTAGGATCTTGGGGAGGAGATCATCACCAGGTTGGGACCTTCCATGCTGGTGGTGGCCTATGCCACTTTGAATCAACACCTCAGCCAACATAATTTATAACATTTCCAAGACATACATATATGAAGGGCACCAGGGTGGGTATATTTGGGGCAATGGAGGTGGGTCAGTCTGTCTCTCTGTGCAAGGGTGGGATTGTGTGAATGTGACTGGAAGTTTTTTTCTGTCTACTTGTCAGGTTGGGTGTTTGGCTCCCCCGTAGCACCGACTGAAACTCCTAAACCCCCGCCTAAACCCCCCCAAACACTTTTATGCTCCCCGCCACGGACAAGTTGCAGTGTCTGTTGGCATAGTGAAGGTTCTCTAGGAGCGGGGTTGGGTACTTCCTACTTAACAAGCTTTATGAATTCTTTTACAAACGCATGCTCATGCGTTTCTTTCCAGGTGTTCAGGGATAAAAACTTATATTTAATACCGTACTAAGCTGCAGCTACAGATATATACCATCCTAATTAAGATTGTGTAATCACCATAGGTTCTTACTCAAACACACATGGGAAGGCTATCCGGTGCTCTTGAAGCTTTTTCTTTTTAAGTTTTCTTTGGTTGTAAATTAGCTGTTTTTATTCATTTGCTCTCTTTTCATTAACTCTTTCCTACTTCTATATCTCTGGCTCTCCCTTAAGTTCTTATCCCCTCTTTCTCTCTCACTTCCCTTTCCGTGCCCGTTGTTTATGATTTTACTCCCCAGAGAATGTTCAAAAAAGTTTGATATGCAAATATAACTTTGCTTTCAAGAATACCAATATGACTGTTGCCATAAGCGCTGCTTGAAGGCAAAGTCGCTGGGCTATCAGCTATAGCCTGACGTAGTCCTAGTCTGATACTGCTCCATAGAGCTGTGATTATGGGGCGTGTTTCGAACGAACCAGGAAAAAAAAATGCCTCTGCACTCAATTGGATAGACCTACAACCAATAAGAGCAACGGAGTGCGTGACGTATGTTAAGCGAAGCATTGTTGTTGTCAACAAAAATCAAAGCGTGCAGTTGCACACTTAGAATAAGAAGATTAGCCTTGATCGCGTTTCTCTGTTCCTCTTTTAAAATTTGCTGTCAATATCTTCTAGAACAGACCTAATAGCAGAATCTACACACCTCAACTCTCCAGCGGCAGCCATTGTTGTTGTCACCCAAGCACTCTTTGGTGACGTGATCGATTACGTTACTGTTGATCATCTGTCCATCATCGTATAAAGCCCGCCCTGACAATTTGATTGGATCGCCAGAGGGTGGGCGATCATACTCGCGCTACTATTGAGCAATGCCAGACTGAACTTCCCGACCTCAAACGTTGTGGGCGGGACTAAGTTCGGAATGGCACTCAGGCTATATCAGCTTAGCCTGGGTGCCATTCCGTTGCTCTTATTGGTCCCATAATCACAGCTCTATGGAGCAGTATCAGACTCATATTCTGACTAGAATTGCGTAGGACTACGTCAGGCTAATATCAGCTAGCTGTGGGACATCAATTCCCAGAGCTATATTTGCTTATCTGGACACAATTAAAAAAAGGCATTAATATGCAGAGAGAGTTGAATGGAAGAAAGAATAATTAAATGCTGTACTTTATCATTTTATTAAATGTGTTTATTCAAAGTAATTTTCAATTGGGTGAAAGAAATTAAGCAATCATAATCCATCAGTAAATAGTAACATTATATTTACATTAAAATATCGTAACATTATAACATAATATTATATCTAAACACTCTACCTGGCAGTTTGCTTGATATTCTAATGTAAATCAATGAATCATTTGTTCAAAAGATGAAAAAATGAACAATGTCTCTAATCAGTAACAATAATCAGAAACAGAAAAATCTAACTTTGATACTTATTATAGATATAATTACAAACCCATTTTCTTTATCATCTGTTATCTGTTCATTAACCCTTGCATTTCCAAGATTTTTTTACTGTAAGGTTGATATCGTGTTCAGAATTTATGTTGTTTTCAGGTAAATGGTAACATGGTGTTAACTATGATCCTTTTGATCAACCAAAGGCAGAAACAACCTTTAAATCATATCAGAGTATTATTGACTAAAATAAAAACACCTTCACCATATTTTTATGTGTGTTTGCTATCTTGACAATCAGTCTATTTGAAGGTTTGGAGGCATAAAGCGAAGAGAAGGAGATGGCCTAAAAGGGAAAATGAAGAGTAGGAAACTGAAACCCCACTGGTTGTCATGCTGGAGGGGGTTGTGGTGGAGTTTGTGCTATTGGTGCTGCTGTTATTGGCAGTCACAGCAGGAGACAAGAATTGTCCCAGTGCACGAGTCAGAAAGGACTCAAAGCGGTCCAGTTTTTCAAAGACCATCATAGGCTCGGCTCGTTTACTTCTGTTGGAGGTGCTTGGAGATGTTAGCACAACTACCTGGAACCAAGAGCCATCCTGCTTACACATGAGCGGACCACCAGAGTCAGTCTGAAACAGAGAGAAGATTATTATCTGCTACAGATTCAGACATTAAGACAGACTGAGCAAGGAGGAATGAATCATATAAGAAAATGCAGTAAGTCTAAGTTACCAAGTCTGATGACTAACAGAAAAAAAAACATTAAGTTTTTATTCTCACAATCATAAACTTTAGAAAACTCAACAGTAAAACCTGTACACCAACAAAAAAGGGTTTTGGAATCTAGTTTTCATATTTCAGATTTATCTTGAGCCAGATATGAATTATAATCATCAGATGTCTGGTTTAGATTTCTTTGCATCTCACCCCTTTTTTCTTTTTTATATTCTTGCCTTATAAGTTTGCATCATCATAGTTTCTTTGCTGACTCCTGCATTTAACTCCCTTCATATTCTTTTTTTTTTTTTATTTAAGTTAATATTTTCCTGGATTTATTTCTTTATTTTGTTTATTTTCTACTGTACTAATTAGCCACCCCTCCTTAGTCTCCTTGCTTGCCTTTTGCCATAATCTAATTATCACATCCGCAGCAAGTCAGTCTCCATAGTGTCTTCAGTATTCAAGTCGTGGTTGTCGTTCTCTGCAGGATTCTCCTCTTTCTCTCCCCTTTATTGTTTCTGTGACTCTACTGCATTCCTTGACCTCATTGACCTCCACCCTTTGTCTAATAAAACATTAATTATTTTTTTCTAAGCTTCTGTCAGCTTCAAATTCCGACTTTGCACTTACATACGTTGAAAACATGTCACTTATCTAACTAAAGTGAATATGTGTCTCATGCCTGGACCTAGGCAAGGTTGAGCTAAGGAGGGATTTTCAGAGTGACTAGCCCTATGTAATCAATGATAAGTAAAAAAGAAATTTGAATGTAAAATGAATTACTGCAGTAAATTTAAGTTGAAATTAAGTTTTTAATAATATTTGTGTTCACAAAAATGACCCAATTAAAATAATTCAAATTATGTTCTTTTATTTTTTATTTTATTTTACTGAAGTCATGCTAAGTTTGACTTTAAAACCCTAATTCAGCAATATACATAACCAAACAGTGGGTGAGAAGTATTGGCATGTGTACCTTCTCCATGGTGAATGATTGTGTGCAGATGATGTCAGATGATGATGAATCCCCACAATCAAGTACTGTTGTCTCGAACTGCTGCAGAGCTTGTTCGTCTGATGGTCAGGAAATAAATAAACTTTAATTCCTGGTTCACTGTCCTTAGTTGCAGTGTTCCTGATTGATCATTGTGTAAATATTAACAATACTCTCAGCCTTTGTGTATTAGTCTCACCTCCTCCTCTTTCAGAGCTCCAGCCAGCAGCCCAACAAGCTGACCCTACTGGGAAAGTTCTTCCATTGTCCAAGCAGATGGGCTGGATGTAGTCGTTCAGGGGGGGTGGGGATGACAGCTTTAGCACTGCGATGTTGCTTCCAGTCAGGTTGCTCATAGTGATATTTATCACATTCAGTGACACTTCAAATTCGTTTGATCCGTTGTGCTTCAGACGACCCAACATGACTGTCCACTCAGACGCCTCATTCGAGCTGGTGAATAGAAGAAGGACTAAATCTTACCAGTTTAAACTAGCTATTGAGTTAGACTCTAACTCAATAGCTAGTTTAAACTGGTAAGGCACACAGTGTAATGTTTGGCCACTAGGGGCACTTGACCTGTTAATGCCAATATTTTGCTCTACTAAACGTCTGTCCTGGCCCTTTGTTTTCTGACCCACATGCAGAACACAGCGAGAAGACAGGTAGGGCAGATTTAAGATTGTTCATTTGAGAAAAAAAAAAAAACTAACAAAAAAACAGGTGAAAAGAAGGAACGTGAGGCACACTGCAACAGAGAGCGATAGTTAATGGGAGTATGTGTACAATGAGAACAACAGCACTAAAGGCTGATCCCTCTCACATTCCTCTCTTAAGCCTCCTCAGAAGGTTTAAACTTTTTTCTTATCTTAAGCCATAACCAGTTTTAGAGCAGGCGGAAAAATAGTAGAGCAAAAGCCTTAGCTCCATGACCACGTAAGAGCCTGCAGCCATAAAGCGATACGTTCTTCCAGGTTACATGACCTGGCCAAAGAAGGTCCGTCATCTCCCAACTTACATAGTCGGTATTTCAAAAGGGGAGCCCCGCTTGTAGCATTGATAGTGTCAAGCGCTGTTAATTGGTCTGAGGAATGATTTACAATAACTCATATGCATCACCTCTTTAGGTCACAAAGTCTGTGATGTGCTTAAGTTAATATTACTTATGGAAACCTGTCATCCTCAGCTTCAACTTACTCTGAGAAGCAGTCAGCATTGGTCAGCACAGAGTTCTCAGACACTAGCGTCCCTCCACAGACATGCTGGCCATTTCTCTGCAAGCTCGCCATCCATGGCCACTTGCCAGCTGACGTCACTGAAACACCTCCCAAAATACGAGAACCCAGTGGGGCTTGTCCACAGACTACAGCTGTAAAAAAATTGAAAGGAAGGGGGAAATTTTTGACTAATAATTTACAGAGACACATTTCTATAAAACACATTAACTTTACAATGCAGAGCGATAATTTATGCGTACAAATTTCACGAGTGACCATAAAATACCTCCTTACTTTCTGTTTTCTATGGCTACAGTAGTCTATCAAATAAAGTCTCCTTTATTTGATAGTAAACAGGATATAAAACATTAAGAGATGGAGACGATACACATTTTAAAGCTGGCATTGCTGCAAAAAGGACCCCATATATGGATTGTGTATTCTAACTTTTTACTCAAATCCAAAATTTTAATAATAATAATCTCTTTACTTTTGATATGCTAACCTGGAAGACATTTACACAAAAGCCAACCACCCAATGAATTGGAAATTCTATGTAGACACCAGTAGTTGTAATTATTTATTAGATCCAAATTGGAATCACACCAGTACGGTCTCCTTTAGAAATGGTTTGGAGAGAAGAGAGTGTAAATTTACCTCATTATTTAACCCATCCCCGGGGAGTTATCTGGGGTTAAAGGTCTCACTCAGAGTGGCAATCCGTGGGAGTGGGGCTCCAACTCAGAACTTCAGAGACCTAATTGCAATGCTCTAATACTAGGCCACTACACCCATATGTTGCAAACATAGATTTTTTATTTTTACACAATTTTTGGAAATAGGTACCTACGTTTAGGTTTTGTTGGTGTTGTTGTTGGGGTTGTACAGGAAATGCTGAGGTCAGTGTCAGTCCCTTCAGATGTGAAGGTAATGAAGCCTGGCTGGTTGATGCTGATCAAACTGTTAATCCAGCTCTCATACTGGGACACTCTGGCATAGACTGCTGGGAATTTGGGCTCAGCACAACCAACACCGAAACTCACAACTCCAGCCTGAATCCAGCGATCACCCTGCTTACTAACCAGTGGACCTCCAGAATCTCCCTTTAAGAGAAGAAACAAATTAATCGTTTACAGCAGGTCAGAGGAAGGAATAAGAGCAGAAAATAAAACAATGATAAAAATAGTTAAGACTTACAAAACAGGGTCCCTTAATTCCTTCTTGAAACCCAGCACATATCATGTTGTCTGTAATACTTATATAACCCAGGTCA